GCCTACAAATTAGCATATTGAGATTATAACAATGTATGAAGCCTTAAAAATAGCTACAAATTTTCCTTTATATCAGGTGTCCTAGGAGATAAGAGGGAGGGGTAAGGAGGCATGGCATTCTGCAGGCAGAAATGAGTGAATTTATTGTCAATGCTTTCTCTAGGTCTTATTAGTTGATCTGAGAACAAATGCAGAAAGGTTTTTCTATTACTAGAAAATTTCATCTGGAAAGATCTGGTGACAAATATAGTATTAATGTCCTTTCCATTTTTTAAGTTGGAGGATTGGTACTTTTTAAATGTTATTTTCATTGGGAAATCCTGAGAAACACTTGTAAATCTAATTTTAAAATTAGAGTGAACATTGGCCTAATGTTAAAACTTGCTTTAAGGGCCGAGTGCCGTGGCTCACCGATTGCAATTCCAGCACTTTGGGCTCTGGGAGGCTGAGGCAGGAGGATTGCTTGAGGCCAGAAGTTTGAGACCAGCTTGGGCAACATACTGAGACCTTGTCTTGACAAAAAAAATGTTTAAAAAAAAATCAGCGGGTCGTGGTGGTACACACCTGTAGTCCCAGTTATTTAGGAGGCTCAGGTGGGAGGAGTGCTCGAGCCCAGGAATTCAAGGTTACAGTGAGCTATGATCGCGCCACTGCGATCCAGCCTGGGTGACAGAGCAAGCCTGTTTCTAAAAAAAAAATAAAGTTGCGATTTGAAATTTAGCTGTTCAACAACCAACTCTTTATACAAGGCAGCTGTTCAAAAATAATATTTGGCATTCATCTATTGCTCTTGTTCAAACCCAGAGCAGTGTTCAAATATTTCATGTTATGTTTCCTGAAGCTTTTCTCTTCATGAAATAACCCCATTACCCTAATTACTGAAATAACAGTACTTTCCTGTTTAAATAGATCTTTAACTGTGTCCAGGAAGTCAAATGCAAAACAAGGCTCTGATGGTGATCCGCTAAGACTAAATTAGTAGCTACATTTTTGTTTTCAAAAGACACTTTCTGGAATGGATTTAGTCTCAGAAAAAAAAACTTAAATTTCCCAGAATGGCAGTAGTAAACAGTACGCGTACTTTGTTTATAAAAATCTAATCTCAAAGACTGCTCCTAAAAACCTTCACTGAATGGGGACTGTATAGCTAAATGGGAAATATCATTAGCAGCTATAACTAGCTACATAAACCACAGATAATCTTACACACATGGTTATTTAAAGCTTGGAAACAACCATAGAAACAAGTGAACAAGTTTCACAGTTTCTCACCTAAAAGGAAACACCTTAGATTTTGGCTGTATGCATTTAAATAAAAGCTAAAACATTATAAATATGTCAATGCAACAATAACAAAACCTTTTCACCACAGAATTTCATCAATTTAGAATATTTATGAATGTACAATTTTTTCTTCGTTTTAATCAATATACATACAGTGTTCAACCTTTAAGTTTCAATCAAGTTATACCACGTAGACTTTTCTTTTTTTTTTTTTTTTTGAGACAGAGTCTTGCTTTGTTGCCCCGGCTAGAGTGCAGTGGCGTGATTATGGCTCACTGCAATCTCAAACTCCTG